GTCCCTCGATGGCCAGAAGGCTTTTGACCGCTGGGAGTTATACCGCTCCAACTCGGTCACCAGAGCCCCGTTTTTATGGGCACCGCCGCGGCGGGGGGTTGGAAATTGAAATTGCCGTTTACACCTCTTTGCCCTGGAGCCTGTAGTGAGCACTGGTACCGATTTCTTTGCCTGTTCTTAAGCGCGAACTAGACAGTAAAGCTTACTGTTTACCAGGAAAAGCTTAAGCCTGAAAGTATGCTGTAATTTCTGACCGCTATCTTTGGCACCTTATCGCCTGGTTGTTGTCTTCGCTACGAAGTTTGGTAGCTGGTCCTATAGTGCAGATCAGCTGGTTGTGAACTGCACTAGCCAACACTACTAACAGCTGAATGAACAACTGAATGCAACCAATTGCACAAATAGCTTCGCGAGACGGCTACTGGTTTTGAATGGTAAAACACCCAAAAGGGCACAAAAAACAAACCAAGGAGACGACTCAACAAAGAGTTGGAGATGCCGCCCCAGAAACGCTCTGCACGGGCTTCGCAGTGAGTAAAACCGCGAACCTTTTGGTGCATTGGGCCCAGTTCGATGCGCACATGTACTAACTCTATAAGAATTTTCACAGAAAAACCACTGGTTTTAGTCACCAAATTTTCTATGTTGCTTCTAGAATATTATATATATTTCAAGTATCTTTCATTTTATACCTATCGACACCTCTCTGCCATCAACCCAGAGCTACAAATCAAGATAATAACGCAACTTATATTGCCCACCAATTTCAGCCACAAATTATATGCAATTGACTTTTTGAGAATACACAAATATTCTATGGTACAATAATATATACTGTAGAAAATTTTAATAAAGATCGATTAAGAAAAAACCAAAGTTATATGTAACCGCGCAATGGGATGGGGCAGCTAGCGAAAACTTCAAGAATTTCTATATACATGTGCACACACACACATTCATGCGCGTCTGCTTCGAATTCTATCAACAACATTGTAATTGCGATTGTATTTTTTTCTGTGCTGCTATTTCAATTAATTTTTTTTTCAATAATACACAATTATTGGTGTGGCTGTTGAGTAGAGGCAGTGGCAAGTGGTGCGGTCTGTCGCGAGTTCGAGTCCTACCGAGGAAACTGTGTTTTTTATACCCTGAACCCATTTAATATGGGTATATTGTAGTTGTGCAAAATCCAAATATATGTAACAGGCAGAAGGAAGCATCTCCGACCCCATAAAGTATATATATTCTTGATCAGCACCAATAGCCGAGTCGATCTTCCTCCATGTTCGTCTGTCTGTCTGTCCGTCTGTCCGTATGTATGAACGCAACGATCTCAGAACCTATAAGAGCTAGAGACTTGAAATTGTAGATGTAGGTGCTCCTAATGCCCGCGCAGATCGAGTTTGTTTCCGATAATCGATACCTTACTCCGTTTCCAAGCAATCGATAAGAATCGATATCGATATCCTGTTTTATGGGCAATTTTGGTAAATAATAAGAGCTAGAGTCACCAAACTTTACATATAGCTTCTAAAATAGAATATATATATTCATTTGATGTTGAAAGAAGAGGGTTCAGGGTATTCCCTAGTCGGGAGCTCCCGACTAGAAACTCTTACTTGTTAATCTTCCGTTGTTAACCAGCCTAGAACAATGCTTTGCCTTCCTATGTTAGTTGATTTTTGGCCTCTTATGACTTACACGGAATTGTTGTCTTTTATTTTTACCTACGTGCACGACAGAATACGCTATGCACAATTTTTTTCGTGTATTTTTCATAAATTATAGTTGCAATAATCAATTTGTGTGGACTTTTATATCAAGATAGTTCATGCAAAAAGTGGGCTCTTCAAAAAAAAATTATTTCAAAATCTTCTATTAAAGTTTAGCAATTGTACTTTGGAGAATATATTATATATCTTTCATACAAAGCGTACGTATTACGAAAGAGATTTAAGTACTAAGCGTCTATCGTAAATCCAAAGCTTTTTCGCTCAATCTCAATTAGAGTTTAGCGGAGGCTTTCAACTTCAGTATTTACTTTAATCTTGTGTGGTATAATTGGTTCTGTTGTTTCAACACAATTGTTAGGTAGGGGGTAATCTTACGGTTATTCTCTCTCTTTAATTTAATGTCGGTGAGGATTTTTTGTCATCTTCAGACATATTCAATTTTCTAAATAGCCTGGGGCAGGCTTAGTTAGTGCCACTGTGCCACTGTCACTGTGACTGTAAGTATTCGCTTTTTGCCTGTGGTGCACTGAACAAACACACACAATGCACAAAAACACGGCAGATCGCCACGGAAGCTCAAGGCGGATGACACACATGCATGCACGTCTTTATAGAATTCTGTCCCCAGCATTGCAATTGCAATTAGTTGTGTGTGCTGTGGATATATGCTGCTATGTTAATCCTTTTTTTGTTGAAATTTATTTTCTGGTGTGGTTGTCGAGTAGTGGCGGTGGCACTGTGTGCGGTCGGTACGGGTTCGAATCCTATGGGGGCAACGATTTTTTTATATATTACTACCAAGCAATTGAGCTCGTAGCACGAGCTGCGTTGGGAGTTGCTTTAGAAGAGCGTTCAAGTTTTCACCTACTGTTATTTGGTATTGGTAATGTTACTTGGTATTTGTCAGATTAATATTATTGTGATTGCGTACCCATGGCATCTTTTGATCTAGGACGTGGTGTCAATTAGTATCGTATCGAATGATTTGGTGGCATTGGTGTTATCGTTGTCGGTGTTTTTTGGTGTGCAAAGTTGTGTTAGCTTGTTGACATTTTAAACAAGTTTTCATTTATTTGTTCACTGCTTGTGTCGTTCGGGCCAGTAATAATATTGTCTTATCTTCCGCAGAGTTCTAGAAACTCCTGTGTGGCCTTTGGAAGAATTGACCTGAATAGAAATTTCTATTGGAATACAGATCATTTAATTTATACTCTGTTCTCGTTTTGTCAAGTTATAATTTCACGAACTGTTTTCAACGTCATTACTTGAGGTGGTTTCAATGTTCGCTACTTATTTATTTTTTTTTTTTTTGAATTCCTCGATTGTTATTCGGAATAAGGCGTCTGCGACATGGTTGTCTTTCCGTTTGAGATATTCAACAGTGAAATCAGATGCTTCCAAGTCTAACAGCATTCGCAATAAGAGCTTGGCTTTTCATGAAGAAAAAAAATTATAGCGGCTCATAGATGTTAGGTCTGAAGTGATTTACTGTCCAATATAATGCTGCTTACTCTTGTTCACCTTTCGTAAAAGTTCTTGATGCTGATGCCACAAGAATTTAGTGGTCTTAATGCATTGGATAAGTACCGCACCACAGGCTTGTTTATTTTCATTAGTGGTAATACAAAAATGTTTACTGAATTCTGTGTACTTCACTAGCGGCGGTTTTATTAATTCCATTTCAAGGTGTTTGATTATTGAATTATTGAATTCCGTTGTCCATTCAAACGAATCGTTTTTTTACAAAGCTTACAAAGCACGTAATCCTAGAAAACTGTTGTATAAACCGTCTGTAGTAATTACAAAACGCGACAACACTTCTATCACCGACCGCATCTATCAGAACTGGATACTTTTTCATGACTTTGTATTTAGTTACATCTGATAGTATAACCTCTATCGGTACATTTATTTTAGCAAGTGACATGTTCGCTAAAGAAAGAACATTTCTCAAGATGAACTTTTAGATAATGCTGTCTGCACACGGCTCGCTTTTTATATCCTAAACCCATAAAAAAATGGGTATAATGTATTTGTAATGGGCAGAAGGAAGCATCAATATATATTCCATACTATATATTTTGTTCAGCTATATATGATCAGCATTAATAGCCGAGTCGGTCCAGCCATATCCGTCTGTCTGTCCGTCTGGCGGTCCTGGCCGAGCTAGAGACTTTAAATAAATATCGATATCGAATTCTTGAGCAAATCTTTTGGGTCTTAAGAGCCATAGTATATTTATATATTAAATTTCTTTCAATATATAGCTATCATCACCCCCTACCATAGCACCATAGCTATCAATCAGTTAAATAAACCAATTTAAAATACTCACTAATTGAAGTCACAATTTTAATGCAATTGTCTTTTTGATAATATAGTATACGATTGTTCTATAGCTTAATTAGATATACTGTTGAAAATTTCATCAAGATCGGTTAAGAAACACAAGAGTTTTTGAACAAAAGGTATTTTTATATTGCCATGTGTTTGAGGCAACAAGTGCAAATTGCAAGAATTTATGTATAATGTACAAACGCAAATATGTACTATCAACAGCATTGCAATGGCGATTGTTGTTGGCGATTTTTTTCTGTGCCGCAATTTTTAGCTATTTTTTCCTCATTTAGACATAATAGTTGGTGTGGCTGATGCGTAGAGGCGGCAGCAAGTGATGCGGTCAGTTGAGAGATCGAACCCTACCGAGGAACTACTTTTTTTCAAATTTATTTTTATTGCTGCTGAAGCAAACGAGCGTGAAGCACGAGCTGCATTTGGTGTTGTTGAGGGTTCAGGGTATTCGCTAGTCGGGAGCTCCCGACTAGAGCCTCTTACCAGTTTCAAAATATCTATGTTAAATAAGTAAAATTGAAGACATGATCAGAATATTTTAATATAATATTCCAGGGCCTGGACAATTCCCAATGGCCATATTAATTGCATAAAATTCGAAGCACAAAACGCGACACGGCTAAGGGTGATAAACGCTAATCAAATTCTAAATTTTTCTTAAATTATAAAACAACTAATTTTCTGTTAATAATGTATAAATTAAGTATAATTAATAATTTATTTTATTTATTGAGAGCATTCAACATTTATATTTATATGAAACAAAAGAAATGCAAATAATATTTCTTGTACATTTTTAAATCATAATAGCCTCCACCATATCGAAAATTTGATATTTTTAATGTCTTGTCATCGATAGTTAGCAGCTCTCATTTCTCAGCTCTAACAATAAACAACACTACGCCCGACTCATTTGTGGGGCGACTACACAAAGAGTTACCATCCAAAATGTTGAACTGTTTATCGAGATATCGATGTTTTAACAAATAATCTGTGGAAAAAAATGGCATGTACAGTATGTATAAAAGATAAAATTATTGCTTGGAATCCCTATTAATCAATTTAATTTTTAGGGTAACGCGACTGGGAATCTCGGCATAAATGTGAAGACTGCTATCTCTGAGGAACACCGACGTATCTGGGTAGGAAATCTGGACGCACGCATCACCGAGTAAGTTGTGAACTGTGCAATTGTGCATTACATTTTTTTCCTCTGAATTGTGCTAATATATATATTTCTTTGACAACTATCGGTTTCAACTTCTCAAACTAATGCAAAAATGCGGTGCCATTGAAAAGTTTGACATGTTATTTCATAAGGGCGGTCCAATGGTCGGCCAGTCGCGTGGATATGCCTTTGTCACATTTACACAAAATGAGGGTGCCACTAACGCAATTATAAAACTGGACGGAACTAATGTGGGCAATCGTTGTATAGCTGTGCGTCTTGCTAAGAACATAAAATATGTAAGTGAAGTGTTAACGTTGTCTGATACCAGTCTGCTTGGCATAAGCAGATTTTTGACATATTTTAAAAATCACTTAGGATGATCTTCAAAGGCCCAAACCTCGCATAGAGATACCTGCACTGGGCAGAGTCAAGCGTGAAGAGAAGATAAGCAAAGCAGATGCCATTCGCGCTATTGAGGCCAAACTTAAAACTTTAGAGCGACAGACGGATAATAATTTGGAATTAAACACCATCGGACGTGATCAAAACGTGCCCTTTATCCATCGCTATCAATTTAACAAGAGCCGTGAAGCTCTACAGCGTACAGGACCACACGGCAAATACAATAAAACTAAGTCATCCGCACCATATCAACGTCAGCTTGTCAAACGACGCTGACATAGACCTAATATCTCAAAAACCACTTTTGAATTAATTAAACATTAGATTGGCTCGCTCTTAAAAAAAAAAACAATATAAAGTTAATTCAGTTGGCTGCAAACTTGAATTTTCTACGTATGTCCTCAGGCAGGGGCACTGTTCCAGGGTAGGACACTTGACCAGGTATTTCACAGATGCAGTGGCGTTCGCAATCATATCCAAAGTTGGCCAGATTGTCTGCTCTTCGCCAAGTTGCTATCAATTCAACAAGAGCCGTGAAGCTCTACCACATACTGGCAAATACAGTGAAATACCATATCAGGATCACCTTCCCAAACGACGCCTAGTCAGACCTAATAATATCTTAGAGCACCTTTGATTTGATTAAACATTAAATTGGTTCGCTCTTAAGAAACAATATAAAGTTACTTTATTTGGCTGCAAACTTAAATTTGCCACGCACGTCCTCAGGCAGGGGCACTGTGCCAGGGCAGGACACTTGACCAGGTATTTCACAAATACAGTGGCGTTCGCAACCATATCCAAAGTTGGCTGGATTATCTTTGCTCTCCGCCAAGCGCGCTTCAGCGACAAGTTGCTTACTAAAATATGTAAAATCGTTCAATGCTAGATAACTTTTGAATGCGGTGCCATATAGACAAATGCTTACCGTGTTTTTCCAACTACATTGATTAAGTGTTCAATGATTTCATCCCGATTCTTAGAATCAATGTCAATAATCATATCCCGCCCATCTTCAAAGAAGCAGCGCACAAAAGGCGAGGGCGCCATGTTTTTTAGAGTGACGACCTGTACATCAGGATTCCTAAATTGTATTTGTGGTATGTTCCAAAATACCAAGTCTCTGCAAGGAGATATATTTATTAAATTCGCATCATTATATAGAGATGTAATCTTACCTTGCGCCTGAATGATGGTTACCGTACGTGTTGTAACTGACGCTGAATATTCGCACAGTGTCTTTCAAAACTAGCTTGCCCTCATTTAGATATTTTAACGTACGCCGTATGGGCTCTCGTCCTTTCATAAATGGCATCACGTAAGATAATTGGTTCAATTAAAATTATAAGAAAAATGTATTGCAATTGTCACTTGTGTAATTCAGTCAGCCAGCTATCGATAGTCTCAAACAACGAATACATATCGATATTTTAGAGTAGCCACTCCAAAAAATATTTGCAATTCTTCAGGTCATTCTACGTTTTAGTCACCCTACAAAAGGATCGTCCAAGTAATCGTACATTAATTTAAGTTTATTGTGTATATTGTTTAATATAAGCAACTAAAAATTGTCGATAAGGCATTTGGTACTGAGTTTTGGAAAAGGAATCGCTCAATTATAAATGCATTTATGATTTTAATAATTTATGTTTCAAAACCAAATAAATTTCAAAGCAGAATTGCAAAACATCAAAATATTCACTGTCTTCATTCATTTGTTTTTGTATATTAGCTTACAATATGGGTAAACCAAATAAAAAATTAGGTTTCCACCATTCTCTAAATATCTTACATTAGAGATAACGGCCCCAAAAACCTCATAAGCACGATTAAACCCTATAGTTTTACCTAATCCATCTTGAAAAAATTATAAAATCGATCAGGACGTTTTTAAGATATTTGTAAAGCAGCGCAGCAACCTCATTGCTACAAAATGACCGTGAAAATTAGCCTTGAACTTGGACTCTAATATCTTTACTCAGAGATAATGGTCCTCAATGCACGCTATACCAATTTGTAGGTACATGTCTTATGAAGGCTTACGCATTTATTCTAATTTCGTATAACCAGTTTGTTAGAAAAATAAAACTATGTAAGCACACCTCTTATTGTTCATTTAAAAAGCCTATCGAGCTACTAGCTCCAAGGGCAACAAAACCAAACGGCAACGGAACCACTGCTTGGAATCAGTGTTGTATAATTTTATGCAGTATTTAGCGGCAACAAATTAATTCAAATATTTTGTATATATGAATGATTTGAAGATTTTAAAAGAATTACCACTTAAAATAAACATTACCTTTGGTAAAAAAAAATGGCTGTTAAATGGTTGGTAACTGAGCATTTAAGAATTTATACATCGATTTATAACAAAAAGGGGTAAATTTATTTATTTATTCATTTTATATTTTACCCCGATAATAGCCCCTAATGCACGGTAGTTTAACATAAAGACCGCGAATTAACAATCATTCCGCTTTTAAATAATAAAATATCGTCCAGCCAGTTTTTAAAAAATTCTCATTTTTGTATTGTTCTCATTATACAATATGTTATCACAAGATAACTGGCTGGCAATATTTATTTAACTTTTGAAACAATAAAATGGTGGCAATATTTAAACTTATTTCAAATGGTGACAATATTTGAGATTGGTGTTTAAATGAGATTTAGGAGTGTGCAGGATAAGCCTAGGTCTGTTCAGGCAGATCTGGGCTCATTAGTACATCAATAAACTGAACGCCACAGCAATAACGGAGGAGATGTTAGCAAATTGAGGTATGCGTGATTGCGCTTTTATCGGATATTTGTTAATTTACCAAAAATAATGGTATTTAACTCTTTTCACGCCACCACAATCTACAATACGTTAGTAATTATTTACCTTTAATATTTATAAATGCATCTTCTATTATTAACTACTGCTATATATACCCTGAACCCATTGAAAATGGGTAAAAACGGTATTATGTATTCGTGCTTATTTGGCACTGGCAGAAGGAAGCATCTTCGACCCCAAAGAGTGTATACATATATTCTTGATCAGCATCAACAGCCGAGACGATCTAGCCATGTCCGTCTGTCTGTCCGTCCGTCCGTCCGTATGTATGAACGCAAGGAACTCAGAAAAGCTAGAAATTTTAAATGTAGGTCCTCCTAGTGCTTGCGCAGATCGAGTTTATTTCCAAGCAATCGATAAGAATCGATATCAAAATCCTGTATTTTGAGCAAGTTAGGTATATATTAAGAGCTATAGTCACCAAACTTTCTATGTTGCTTCTAGAATATTATAGATATTTCAAGTATCTTTCATTTCATACCTATCGCCACCTCCCCGCTACCACCCCAGAGCTATAAATCAAGTTATTAACCCAACTTTTATTGCCAACCAATTTTAACCACAATTTAAATTCAATTGACTTTTTCAGAATACACAAATATTCTATGGTACAATAAGATATACTGTAGAAAATTTCATAAAGATCGGTTAAAAAAAAACCAAAGTTATATGCAACTGCGCAATTGAATGGGGCAGCAGCTTTAAGAATTTCTGTATACATGTACACACACACATTCATGCGCGTCTGCTTTGAATTCTAATAGCATGGTAATTGCATATTTTTTTTGTGATGTTATTTTAGTTCCTTTTTTTATCATAAGTACTTAATTGTTGGTGTGGCTGCTGAGTAGAGGCATAGCAAGTGGTGCGGTCTGTCGCGAGTTCGAGCCGGGGAAAGTATTTTTTTTTTTGTTGCTGGTGTGGCTGTTGAGTAGAGTCGACAGCAAGTAATGCGGTCAGTTGCGAGTTCGAGCCCTGCCAAGGGAACTTTTTTTTATTAATTTATTTGGTGTTGGAATAAGAGGGTTCAGGGTATCCCCTAGTCGGGAGCTCCCGACTAGAACCTCTTACTTGTTTTAAATTTATTTGGGGTTGGAAAAAGAGGGTTCAGGGCATTCCGTAGTCGGGAGCTTCCGACTAGAACCTCTTACTTGCTAGATTTAAGTTTTTATTTAAATGGGGTTACGAATCGATTGAGTTGGGCGGCAATTAAGCACTTCCTGGGTGGATAGATATTTGCAATGCGTGTTGGACGCGCGGTTATAAGTTATCGCCGAACTCTTGGCAATTATTTAATTAGTTGGTCATTTTTAGTAAATTGATTGATGGGAATCCTGAGGTTGGTCAAGACATCTTGAAAAATTTAAATATTTTTATACCAATGCTTATGTTTCGACCGAACGATCCTTTGGCAGCTATATGATCTAGAGGTCCAATGTTGAAAAGACTTTTTTATTTACGTATGGAGCATACTGAAGCTATATAATGAAATGGAAGTGGTATGCAAATACGTAGGTAGAAAAGTGAAACTTATAAATGCACAGCTAAGTCAAGATATTTTGAAAATTAAACGATACCCTTGCAGACCCAACCTTTTCATAATGCTCATAGTGTTTTGCCCGTATCTGGGAAGCACAGGGTAAATAGTTAATGCCGAGTTTGGTCAAGATATCTTGCATATCTTGCATGTATACATATGAGGAGCATAGTAAAACTAATAAATGCCGAGTTTGTTCAAGATATCTTGATAAAAAAAAATTTTGTTCATACAACTTAATTTTTGACCGATCATTCCTATGGCAGCTATATGATATAGTCGTCCGATCCAGCTGGTTTTGACATATGTGCTGCGTGCAACAGAAAGAGGGACTTCTGCAAAGTTTCATTAAGATAGCTTTAAAACTGAGAGACTAGTTGGCATAGAAACAGACAGACGGACATGGACTATTTCGACTCGGCTGATCAAGAATATATATATATACTTTATGAGGTCGGAGATGTCTCCTTCTATGCGTTACACATTTCACGACAAAATTATAATACCCTCTGCAAGGGTATAAAAATTTGTACATACAAGTACACCTAATTCTGGTTCTACACGGTCATTTTTTTACACGGTTTTGATTTAACACGGTTTCAAAATAAAAAAATTTTAAATTTTTTACACGATTTTAAATTATTTAGCACGATTTTAAATCTTTTGGGCTCACATTTTTTTTGTCAAATTTAATTTTTGTGAAATATATTCATATCAAAAATTTAGGGGAATTCCCTTTTTATGCATAGAAGCAAATTTACTTGTCAGAGCAATTGAAATGTGTTAATATTTTGTGAACTGCATTGATAGTGATTTATTGCACAAAAAAATTGTTTATTGGCCAATTTGCCTTTCCAACATTACATTAAATTTAATTAGAACTTATTAAGATAAGAGCCAAAAAATATTTTATACTTATTCAGTTATATATATTTTTAACATTTTTTTTATCTTATAAATTGAATAACTTATTCTTTTTTTTTTTTCAAAAACATAGCTGTTTTACATTAAATTTACATTACTTTCAAGCTTAGAGAGCCTATATTTTTCTTCTTTAATCCTTGTTTTTCACGAATTTTTATAGGTTTTAGAGATAAGGAATCAATCACTATTTTTGCATACGATCAATGTCTTTTTTTACACGTTTTTTTTCACATGGTTTTTTTCTGGAACTAATCTACCGTGTAAAAACCGAATTAGGTTTACTTAATTATCGACCGATCGTTCATATGGCAGTTATTATATATGATACAGTCGTCCGACGTTGATAAGATTTTGCATGTATACAAGGGTTATAGTTAAACTAATGAATGACTAGGTTGGTCACGATCTCTTAATACACATAAGAGTTTTTACTTCAAGAACCTACTCTTCAAACGATCGTTCATTTGGCAGCTAAATAATATAGTGGTCCGATTCATCCTGTTTCGATATACACTGTCTATAAACGAGACACGGACCTATGTATAGCTTCAAGACGGTAACTTTAAAACTGAGCGACTAGTTCGCATAGAATCTGGTATACGGACGGGCAGACATACGGATAAATGTCATCTTAGCTGTTGCTGCTGATCTAGAATATTAGTTATCACCGAGCCCTTGGCGAATATTTGGTTAATTGATTGATGGCAGCCGGCTTGACTTGACAAATAATAAGGCGTTGGTTTTTTAGTAAATTCTTCTTATTTTTATACCCTGAACTCATTGAAATTGGGTAAAAGGGGTATAATGTATTTGTGTATGTATAATTATAACTTAATTTGAACAAGGATATCCAGTGAAAGAATTGGTATTTAAGAGACACTGTAAGCAGGTAGTTGCTTGGAGTGATGGAAGTTACGAAAATGTTTACAAACTTACTTAAGTATATCATCAATCCTTGTATCCTTGATTTTGGCATAAACACATTCAAACTAAATTTCGATTTGCGCTGTTGTATGGAGAGTATGTATGCTTCCCTTTAGCACAGCCCACCCTTGTCTATCAGGCGAACTAGTTGCTGCGAACTAGATGCTGTGTTGCGTAGCCCAAATGGCCAAGACCAACATGTCATCCACTTCATTATCCACTACTTTCTGCAACGTTAGCGATAAGGGCTAGGGTTGAGTCGGTTGAGTCCCTTTTACTATATCTGTTGAATGTTTCTCTAGGTCCAACCCGCCATATTCAAAAGTCTAAAGGCTCCAGCTTGACTGCCTCCAACTCTGTCCTTTTCACACTAGAAAACTTTCATGGAAAAACGTGATGTTTTTATTCTGCTCCATATGAAATTGGGAGCTCGACCCGACCGATAATCGATCTATTGTATCCTCCCGCGGCTCGGACCATCGAAACGTATGGTTGCACTAATGCTGTCTCCTGTGTCTAAAATACTACATATGAGATACGTACCCATAGGTACTTCGGCGAATACACGTGAGTCTATGTTCTCCACACAGCTTTGATGATCTGTCGCATTATCCTGCACCTGCGGAAACGCGCCCGAGCCTTGCCACGTCGGTGGTCAGCGTCGTCCCTTCCAGATGTCGCTCACCAAAAATTATATTTAGGGCCAACATGTATGCCCAATCACGTTCTTCATATGATAAGATTTTTCCTTAGCAATATTCTTTTCCTTATTGTAAGCCTTAATTAGTCTTCTATTGGCTTTGGCAGGTATCCTCTACTACTCCTTCACGGTCACCGTCCACGAACGGGCCTGGCCCGCTATCATCACACTCCCTCTAGTGATTCCCGGAAACCTTTCGTACTGTGGGCACACCTTCCGCACCTGTAATATAAAATCGTCTGTTCTCTGGAAAGGCAATCCCTGAATGCATGATCGAACTAAAGTTCCATCAGATTAGCCGGGATTGGATTCTGCCCCCACTAGATCTCTTGTCGAGTTTTTTGCACGATGTGGTAGTATGGCTTCGCTCCTTGCGGACAGCGCGACTTTTGTGCATATCCATCTCGACCCCAGCGACCCATATACATCTCAACCTCTATGCACTCTTGGTGCAGCTTAATCACGTTGCGTACATCCATCGCATACGCGTTATTCCTTCACGTTCCCAATCTCTTAGCGGCTTCTGGAATCGTGAGGTGAGTTCACTCATGTGATGGATATAATCATCCATTACCTCGCCGTAATGGAAAATTTCGCCTTTCAACCGTTTAAGGTACGCCCATTCCCGTACGTTGGCATACGTTTTCTTCGACTGAAAGTCATCCGCTCTCCGGTGCACTATCCGGAAGTAACGGTTTTTGTTTTGGCACCTGTTCCTCGCCTGAGTATCCGCGATGAAGACTGGACTGCTGGAAAAATACTCCGCTGCACGCGGGCTGTGCCTCTGAGGTTTTGGTGGAACCGGCGCAGAGTTGGGGTCTCTGGCGTGGTTCTGTGGCGGCGTAAGCACATCGATGATCCTAGTGGGCCTGAGCCGTGTTTGCTGCCAGTCTGCGGAGTCTTTCCATGCCTTTGGGAGCTCAATGCTCCAGAGGCCTATCTTGTAGTGCCACCTCCATCTCCAGTTCAACCAGATACCTCAGCCATGATTGATTTCCCCAAAGGGCACCTATTTAACTTGTACTAAGAACAATAACTTCTACTACTAATAGAAAAATTCTACTAATGACTCCTAGTAAATAAATATCTAGTAACGCACAACCAACAAATCCGACTACTGTTAATAAATAAATATATATATAGATATCCACAGCAAATATCGAAAGCGAAATAACTCACGATAAAAGCTTTTCTGTTTTTAGCAAAACTTTATATAATCTTCGCGAGACTATCTACAACTATCTATGCGCAGCCTGGACAGTGGACAAACATTTAAGCATCCGTAAAATGCTCAGCTCATCAGTTTGACTGACGAACGGCATCCAAGGAATGCGTCCCTGCAGACGCTTGGGATATGCTGTATGACAGATGCGACGCAGGATCGATTCTGTATCACCTGTGCCCAAAGCTCTTATAACTACGGCCAGCAGACATCCGAAGTGAATACAGAATAAGACGCAACAACAAATAAGTGAATAAATAAAATTTGTCAAGTCTACCATAACATCACATTTTTAGAACAATATGCCGTTATCATTGCGCTTATCACCAGGCTATGATAGATAATCGCAAGCGCTTTACCAACATGCGATCGTGTCATATTATCATCAAACTTGCCAAGGAAAACTTCTCATACTAATTGATACTCTGTTTCTCGGATCTGACTCCAAGTTGTGCGATTATGGGCCACTGACTCCTGCCGTATAAGACATAAGGAGAGTGAGGCCAAAATCCGAGGGAAACCTTTCTTATAAATGGCATAAATAATTTAATTTATTTTTAGAATCAGCCCCGAATACTCCGAAGTAATTCTTCTCAATCATCAGTTCTCAAGGATCTATCCCATCCCTGGCTCACAGCCCGGACAATCATAATTATTTTTTCGTCACTGGGTTCGTATAATTGGTCTCATTATTCTCAAAACTATTGATAATATTTATCCTAAACTTTTTTCTTTTTAGAGAACACATCTTTTTTATACATTCATGCAAGACAAAGGAACAAGTGAAGAACGAAATGCAATTTATAGCTGCCGCCTGCAACAACAACGGAACGGATCCGACTCACTCTATTTATACTTTGCCGGTTCTGCCTGCTAATGCTCGCATGGTGGTCCTCCTGCGTATGTATGTGCATATATCTCTCGTTCGGAAAGTGTTCTCGGAAAGTCCGACGCCCTCGTCCTCTGATTCTGTTTCTGTTAAACTTTTATTTATTTAAATGCATAATAATTTTTTTTTTTTTTTTTTGGAAAGTTTCATTTTATTTTTATACCCTGAACCCATTAAAAATGGGTATAAGGTTATATTGTATTTGTGCGAAAGCCAAATGGATGTAACAGGCAGAAGGAAGCATCTCGGACCCCATAAAGTGTATATAATCTTGATCAGTATAAATAGCCGAGTCGATCTAGCCATGTCTGTCTGTCCGTCCGTCCGTCCGTATGTATGAACGCCAGGATCTCAGAACCTATAAGAGCTAGAGACTTGAAATGCTAGATGTAGGTGCTCCTATTTCCCGCGCAGATCGAGTTTGTTTCCAATAATCGATAACTTACTCCGTTTCCAAGCAATCAATAAAAATCGATATCGATATCCTGTTTTTTGGGCAATTTTGGTAAATAATAAGAGCTAGAGTCACCAAACTTGACATATAGCTTCTAAAATAGAATCTATATATGCATTTGATGTTGGAAGAAGAGGGTTCAGGGTATCCCCTAGTCGGGAGCTCCCGACTAGAACCTTTTAGTTGTTATTTTTATTCGACACGGTGGTTTCTTTAAAATTTAATTTGTTGTCCGGAACGATCAATTTTAAAAATTCTGAATTTTTCGAGTGTCGCGATAATTTTTGTTTAAGTTTCAATTTTTGTTCGCCAAGTTTTTAATGGATTCAGGGTACAAAAAATAAGACAAAAGGCTCTAGGCGGAATCTCCCGATTAGGGGATACCCTAAACCCTCTTCTACCAACACCAAATGCACCTTGTCTGCTTCAGTAGTACTAAAAATATAATAACATAAATAATAACTTTTGTGTTTCCTAACCGATCTTGATGAAATTTCCAAGAGTGCATCTTTTTGTCCAATAGAATATTTGTATATTCTCAATTGATTTATAGATATGTGTTGGTAGCGGGGAGGTGGCGATAGCTATAAAATGAAAGATAGTTAATGTATAAATACTTATATAGAAGCTAAATGTCTTTCTTTCTTTTTTTAATAACTTTTCTTTAATAACTTGTGTGTTTCTTAACCGATCTTAATGAAATCGTCAACAGTACATCTTATTGTACAATAGAATATTTGTATATTCTCAAAAAGTCAATTGCATTAAAAGTGTGGCTTAAATTGGTGGGCAATACAAGTTGCTTAATTATCTTGATTTATAGCTATGTGGGGGTAGCGGAGATAGCTATAAAATGAAAGATACAATATATATATACACTGTAGAAACAACATTAAAGGTTTGGTGACTGTACCTCTTAAAACCTAAGAGGTGTGCTCAAAAATCAGTATTTAGATATAGAATTGTATCGATTACCTTAAACAGGGCAGGTTATCGATTATCGGAAACATACTCCTTCTGGACGGGCACTAGGAGGACCAACGTTTAAAATTTCAATTTCTCTTATAGGTTCAGAGACCCTGGCGTTTATACATGCAGATATGGCTATATCGACTCGGCTTTTGATGCTGATCATCATCCTTCTGCCTATTATATTCATTTGCCAAAAATATTGTACACTTATTATCAATTTTCAATGGGCTCTGGGTATAAATCGCAGACAACTAACTTAGTCTTTGCTCTATCCCTTTTTGTTTTGGGCTACAGCCTTTGATATAAGCTTCTGTACTCTTCTAAATCATTGTTATTGTTTGTAAGAACGGCTATGGTAATTTCCAAAGCCACAAAATCATGTCTTCCTCTTCAATCGAGTTTAACTTGCAAACATTTTTGGACCAGCAAAGCATCCTTTGTCAAAAAATGGTGACTTTAACTATTGATCAGTTCTGTAACCAAAGACCATAAGCCTTCTTTATAACCATTTTTATCCAACGTCAGAGAAATATATTATTTGGTGGTTTTCCCTAAATTAGATATACCATTGCTATAAATAAGGGTATCTATGCCTCGACGCGCCAAGTTGTTGATGGTACGTGTATCTCAACTCTCACATTTTGGTGCAAATATATGTACATATGTACATGTACATATCTATGTACGAGTCTCTCAAGCCAAGCCAAGCATATGGATTAATGAAGATTGCAACATTTTGTTCAGCATATGACGTCACAGCTTAATGTTTATTGTGTGCGATCGCTGCGAACAGTAAATTACTACATTTTATATAAATTATGTTTTTTAAAAAAACACTTTTAATAAATTATTTATATGTACGTAATAAAGGTAGAAATATATTCTAAACAACCCAATAAATAAAATTCTATTACATGTGACGTAATATCCTTAGGTTGACAGACACACATGTATATTTACACCAAAATGTAAGAGTTAAGACACACATACCGACAACTACTCAGCCCATTATTAATGATTGTATATACGAAATTTTATTTTTCTCTGACATTGGAAATAAATTGTATATGAGACGATTAATGGATTACAGCACTGATCAATTGTTCAAATATCCTATCTGTCGGGCTGCTTGCAAGTTACAAGTTGAGTGGAGAAGAAAATAGTTTTATTTCTAAGTTCATTGTGCATTTTTATATTCTTTACTTATGCACTTAAATTTCACAATAAATTAATTTACAAATTTTTTGTTATAATAAGCATTTTAATATTACTTTTTGCACCTTTATTTACGAAAATATTTAGGGTTTTTATGTAGATCTTACACGATTTTTATAAGTTGTAGAGCAGGGACGTAAGGAACGTAAAAAACGGAGTTACGTGTATGTACATATGCATATGTACATGCATGCATATATAGGTACATATACATATATACTTGTATTTAATTTTAATTTTAAAGCAACTGCAATACGCAATACGAATTATGTGAAAATGATAAAGTAGGGCAATACTTGGGGTAATTGTGACTGTAATCAGTAGCCTTTGGAGCACTAGACAAATAAATTTCAAAGCGTTTTGCTCTGGGCAAAAGATGGAACCAGATGCGGATGCAAAGTCGCCACCAATAACAGCTCGACCAGAGAATGAAAGACAGCAAGAAGAAAGCGGATTGCGCAATATTTACGTCATCACATAAATAGAGACGGTGGCTGTACCGTAAACAACAGTGGAATGGTGACTACGGAGAAACTGTTACCTCCGCAAATGCGACAGCACGCTGTAGCGGTTGGACCCGCATAACTACAGGCAAAATGTACTGAAATGTGGGCGAAGCCTAAGCGTAGCAGCCACAGAGGGCAAAGTCAAAAACTACTCACAGTATTGGAATGCAATTTCACTTTTTTAAATAATTTTTCAATAACTGTGCGTTTCTCGTGATCTTTTTGGTACACACCATAATATGTTATACATATGTACATATTTATTCAGAGCGTTCATGTGAAACATGGCTAACGGTTCCAATTTAACTACAAATAGCAACAAATAAGAAGAATGGTGTGATCGAGCATGTTTGACCATAATATACCCCGTTCCCCTCAGTTAACATCATATTTTGGTTTTTAACACCACTTTGTATTCTTAGGATCACATACGATTTTTTATCCGAATTTAACTTTAAATCTATATTTCTATACTCTATTTGACAGTTACATTTAGTAGGAATAAGAACTTTGTAGCCGACTATGCTCGTAATTTTGTATTTAAATCAAATATTTGATTGGCAACACTACGTACAAAATTATTTTATTATACTCTGAAACCATGCCTATGGGTAATGATTTTGTGCAAATTTATGTAATAGCTGTCTATTACATAAAAAAAGGAAGCATCTCAGAGCTCATAAAGCTTAAATCATGATTCTTATATCTCGGACCTGTTGAAAATGGGTAAAAAGGTTTGTTTTTTTTTTTGATTCATGCAAGTGTGTCAAATAAAAGATACCTTATTCCTATATACTCTAATGGAAGCTACATGTCAAGTGTGGCAACT